CGGTCTGGGCGGCAGGTTTTTGCTTGCCAGGTCCCAGTGGTGGTCAGCGACGGGGCCTTGGCGCGGTCTCCCTCTCGCCTCGGCTTCCTCCTCCTTCCATATAGCGCTGAACAAGAACCAACAAGAATCCGTTGAGGGCGAGTTGAGGCAACGGTAGTTGGCCTTCGGGGGCCCCCATATGGCCCCCTCGTCGCCACGGCCGGACGCAGCTTCGAAAATTGATCTCGAGCTGCTGCTGTCCCAACCCGCCTTGCCCCGACAGAAGCCCCAGGGCACAGGGCCATATCTCTGAGATCGGACGGCGCCACCACCCCCTCGCGGCGCCTCCGGCGCCGCCCCCTGGCGCTCACCGCCAGCCAGGGATGGGGTCCAGCGCGGATCCAAGAGCTCCGCGCGGACTGCCGACCGGCTGTGTTCCCAGGTCCCCCGGGGAGGGCGCAAGGAGGATCGCGCTGCGCGCGTCGTGGTCTGGGTCAGGGCGGCTGCCCTTCTCTCCAGGGCGCGGCGGCTCGACGGTGCGATGGCGCGAAGATGCGGTGGGGGCGCGCATCAAGAAACCGTCTGCTTTTCGTCGGGGTATCCTGGGGCTCTTCGCTCCGCGCGCCGCGCGGTGGCTTCCCGCAGCCGGGGGGAGTAGCGGCTGCGTTCAGGGTTCTCCGAGCTTGCCCTCAGGTGCACCTCGCGCGCGGGTTTTCAGGGCTGGGTTTCTGGCTAGGATTTACGGCGGCCGCGCCCGCACTGTACTCGCGCATCGCGGGGCGCGATGCGAGGAGAAGTTGGGCAGCCCAGATGTTTCGGGCCACCCACATGGGGCGCACAGACTATCGCGCTTCGCGCGTCGCGGTCTGGGCCAGACCGGCTGCCTGGCTTCCCCAGGAGGGGCGGCGCGGTGGCGCGAAGGTGTCCGCGCGTGGCGGCCGGTGGCCCAGAAGGATCGAGCCGGGGACCTGTTCGGGGGTGAGCTCTGACCGGAATTTCGGAGGGAATCCAGCCGTAGTGACGAAGGACCTTCTCCCTTACTTACCTCTTACCTGCGGGAAGCACAGTAGGTTCGACTCTTCGGTCGTTGACCCACTTCCGCACGAGGAACCCTCCAGAGGTCTGACGGAAATTGTAGAGGCACGTCAAGAACATCGACCCTCGAGCTTCGAACACCGATCTTTGAGCTTCCCCTGTGTCCCCCAGATCCTGGGCGTCGGGTTGTTGTTTCTAGTCTGATGCCTCCGCCTCCATCCTTCATTCTTCCTCCGTTTTGCCTCCTTCCTCCTCGCCCACATTGAGACTCACTCACATTCAGAGACTCACATTCAAACTCACTCATGCTCGGTCTCACTAGTATTCAGATCCGCTCACACACAGACTCACTCACACTCAGACTGACTCACGGCACCGTAGAACTGAGCCCACGCTCGCACATATTCTGCCACACTCGGACCCATCCACGCTCAGACTTACTCACGCCTGACGTGGCAGGCACTGCACTTGGGCATTCCAAGGAGGAGCCGCCATGGAGGGGACAATGGCCCGTTCGCGCTCGATTGTGGGGATGTCTCGGGCGGTTTGCCTGTTTGTCGTGCCGGACTCCTCCCTCGTGGGGGGCCCATGATCATCGCGATACGGCAGGCGCGGCACTCTGGCACTCACGGAGTAGCCGCCAGGGAGGGGGGCACTTGCCCGTCAGCGCCCGATTTGTGGGGAAGCCTCGGGGGGTTTGGCTGTTTGGTGGCTCAAGCTCTTGGGTCACCTGCGGGGGTGCGAAAATAAATCGCGCTTCGCGCGTCGCCGCCTGGGCCGGATGAGATAACCGCGAAGTCGCGAAGAGGGCCGGAGAGGATCACCGCCTGTAGCGCATCGCAGAGCGCGATGCGCGGAGTTAGGTGACCTAGAATTTCTCTCTCTTGAAAGTCCCATGATCACCGCGATACAGCAGGTTTTCCCTCAAGGACAGCCTGGCTTTCCCAAGAGGGGCGGCGCGATGGCGCGAAGATGTCCGCGCATCGCGGGGCGCGATGCGCGAAGTTAGTTGGCATAGAAAGATCGACCCAGGGACCTTGTCGGGGGTGGGCTCAGACATGAATTTTGAGGAGAATCCAGCCGTGGCGACGAGCAGCCCCCCGGAGGCCCGAAACGGGCGAAACACCTATTGCGGTGGCCGTGGGTTCCCGGGACGCTCGCTGGACGACGTGAGGACACGAGGACACAATGGTTCTCTTCGAGCTGCGGTCTCCGCGTCGAAAGACTCTTCCCGCCAGGACAGCCCCGACGGCCCCCTCCGCGCCGCCGCAGCGCGGGCCATCGGCGCCCTGGCGCCGGCCGCCGCCAGGCCCGACGACGACGACGACGACGACGACGACGACGACGACGACGACGACGACGACGACGGCGGCGCAGGCCCGAGGCCCTGGTCAAGAGCCTCGGCAGGCCCCCCCTCGGTGCCGCGCGCCTCGACGCCCTCGCCGCGGCTTTGCTCGCGCTCGGCGGCCAGCGCTGCGCCGCGGAGGTCCGCCGGCGCGCGACGGCTCGGCTCGGGGTTCCACAAGTTTTCGGTGCGAGGCTGTCGGTCCGAGGTTCTCGGGCGTTCTCGTGGTTCCAGGAGCCTTGCAGGCCTCGGGGTGCGTTCCAGCAGCTGCGCCTTGCCGAGAGCTTTCCAGGGGTGCCCAGATCGTCCCGACCAGGCGCCGGAGATTTTTTTTTGTTGTTGTTGCCATTTTCACTTTCTGGTGGCCTCGCCGGGCCACGGGACTGTCAAAACCGACTTGGGATGACAAGCTGGCCCCTGGGAACGGATCGAGATCTTTGGAAGTCGGCGTCGTGAAAAACAACCACCTCCCCTTGTCGTCAAACAGTCACGACGGAAGTTTTTTGTCGTGTTCGTCTTCCAGGGGCCCTCACCGGGTCCTGGGACTGTCAAAAAATTCGGGCGTTGCGCAAGGGGGGGGTAGAGAAAGGTGCACCTTTTGTTCCCCAAAGGGGCCCCCTGGAGCCTAAAAGGAGCACGAAAAGTGCACGTTTCTCCTCCCCCAGTAATTTAGCAACGCCCAAAAAATTGTCCGAGACGGAAAAACAGTCCGGGGGAAGGGGTCCAGACTTCTGGGGGTCGAGGCTGCGAACAAGAGCGCAGCGATTCGCAGCTCTGAGCCTGCCGGATCGCAAAAGCTACACAGGTCATCTGCGGGAGCGCGAAGGTGGCCGCGGTTGTTCGCGCGTCGCGGCCTTTGGCCAGAGCGAAAGGCTTGCTCCGAGGGGGCGGCGCGAGATCGCGAGGCGCGATGCGCGAAGATGGGCGACCTAGAAACAGGGAGGGGGCGAGGGGGGGCGGCCGTCAGAGGAGGCAGGGCTTCTGGGAAGGCATGGCTGCAAGGATGCCTCCTCCTCCCCCTCCTCCTCCTCTTCCTCCTCCTCCTCCCGTGCGTCCACGTCCCAGCCATAGAGGAGGGCCTCGACATCCTGGACGGGGACGGCGACAGCTCCTCCTCGAGTACCTGGGCACGGAGGGCGCTCAGGGGAGCGGACACGCTCCGCCGCCAGCAGCTCGCGCCGTGGCTCCGACGGCTGGGCGGCAGCTCAGCCTCGAGCACAGCCACGGATGCCACGGAAGAGGCCCCAGAGGCGCAGGTGTGGAGAGCCGCAGATGTGCGGGTGGCCGAAGCCTCTCCCCATGCGCCCCTCTCGCTGATGCCGCCGACAGGCGGGTGGCTGAAGCTCGTGGGACGGAGAGCCGCAGACGTGCGGGTGGTCGACGCCTCTCTGCACGAGCGCCCCCAGCTCGGCTCCCCTGACGAGGGGGTGGCCGATGCAGCCCAGCTGGGGAGAGGATTACTGGAGGCCTCGGTCACGGGGCAGAGGGTGGCGCGCCAAGCCTGGCATGGGTGTCAGCTCAGCCTCGACTACGGCTACTGATGCCTCGGAGGAGGACCCAGTGACGCATGATAGGAGAGCCGCGGATGCGCGGGTGGTCGATGCCTCTCCACATGCGTCCCTCTCGCTGATGCCGCCGACAGGCGGGTGGTCGAAGCCTTCAGCGATGAGCTTGTGGGACGGAGAGCCGCAGACGTGCGGGTGGTCGAAGCCTCTCGACATGAGCGCCCCCAGCTCGGCTCCCCCGACGGGGGGGTGGCCGACGCAGCCCAGCTGGGGAGAGGAATACTGGGAATCCCGACCGCGAGGCAAGGGGCGCAAGGCAAAGCCCGACATGGACCTCAGCTCAGCCTCGAACGCGGCCACAACCGCCTCGGAAAAGGCCCCAGTGGCGCATGAGTGGAGAGCCGCGGATGCACGGGTGGCCGAAGCCTCTCCCCATGCGCCCCTCTCGCTGGTGCCGCCGACAGGCGGGTGGTCGATGCCCCCAGCGATGTGCTCGTGGAGCCGAGAGCCGCAGACGTGCGGGTGGTCGACGCCTCTCGACACGAGCGCCCCCAGCTTGGCTCCCCCGACGGGGGGGTGGCCGATGCAGCCCAGCTGGGGAGAGGGACGCCGGAGGCCCAGATCTCGAGGCAAGGGGCGCCACGCCAAGCCTGGCATGGTGCTCAGAGGCCTCAGCGGCAGCGCCTGGGGCACCCTCGTCGACCACTTGGACGAGATGCCGCTGGGCAGAAACACCATCATGCTGGTGCAGGAGCACCGCCTCACCAGCGACTACGTCGGCGAGATTAGTGCCAGCTGTTTCCAGAGGCACCTCACCGTCGCCCTCGCACCCGCAGCGGCGGGGCCAGGGGGCGGCAGAGTGGCTGGGGTGGGGATCGTCGCCCCACGCTGCGTGGGCCTCACCTACCTCGAAGGCGTGGACACCTTGGACTTCTCGCCGCCAGGATCGCCAGGAAGGCTGGCGGCGGCCTGGACCCCTGGGTTTCTTCGAGGAGGCCTCATGGTCCTCAGCGCCTACTTCTGGGTCTCCGAGGGCTGGGCCGTCCGCAACCTGTCCATCTTGGACGCCATTGGCGAGCTCGTGAGGGCCTACGACATCCCATGGGTCCTCCAGGCTGACTTCAACAACACCCCCGACACGCTCACGGCCACGGAGTGGGTGGCCGACGTTGGGGGCACCATCTTCTCCTCGGCCGCCCCCACCTGCCAGGGCAAGGGGGGCGGAAGAGTCATCGACTACTTCGTGGTTGACACGCGTATCGCGTCAGCCTTCGGTGCAGCGGAGGTGCTCGACGCGCCCGCCGCCCCGCACACCCCCGTCGCCATCGCGACGGAGAGGTCACTGCGGGAGCGGCTAGGCTGGAGGCTGGTCAAGCCTCGGGCTTTCCCGACTCGCCTCCCCGTGGGCTGTCGGCGGGAGCCTCCAGCATGGCCGATCCTCGACAGTGGAGCAAACTACAGCGACGCCGAGCTGGAGGAGCTGTGGGCGGGGTTCTCGGCGGCGGCCGAGCACGACCTGCAGGGCATCCACGACCTCGTCGGCGAGGCCGACTACACGGGCAGGGGGGGTCACCCCCGATGGGCCAGAGCCCCGATCGCAGGCCCAGAGGCGCATGCGAGGCCCAGGGGCACCACGCGCTCCAGGGCATGGCGCTGGGTGGCCAGCCGTGTCGGGGACATCGTCTGGCTGGCGCAGGCGGCCCGTCAGAGGCGCGACTGGCAGCCGTGCGCCGACCAGTGGCGGCGCCTGCGCAGGCGCCTTCACCACGGGGCAGCCCGCTGGTGCGACGCGCTGGGTGACGACGCCAAGGCGGTGCACGCCGAGCTCCTCGCGCTGGGCGACCTCACCTGGGACGGCGACGCGCTCTGGGAGGATGCCCCCAGGGCGATGGAGCTGCAGCGTCGGGCCACGCAGCAGGCCCACGTCATCGAGCAGGGACTCCGAGACCAGAGGGCCAAGGCGTGGCGCCAGAGGCTTAATTAAGGACGGCTCACAAGGAGGTGCAGGCTTCGTCCATCGCATGTCGAAGTGGCGCCAGGGGGTCGACCCTACGCTTGGGGCCCGAGGACACACCAACCTGGACATGACGTGCCCTCAGGCCGCGGTCGACCTGGAGGCGCTGAAGTGGATCGACCTCTGGACCTCTCACGGCGCCCAGAGCCGAGGCGAGCTCCCACGCCCCTGGGAATCGGCCACTTTCGAGCATAGCATGGTCGAGCCGACGGCGGACGACATCAGGTCCATATGCAAGGCCTTCCCGGAGCACACGGGGGTCGGGGTAGACAGCTGGCACCCCAGGTGGTTCGTCAGCTTGGGGGACGAAGGGCTTGCCTTCCTGGCAGCCTTCGTCGCATGCGTGTCGCGCACGGCCAGGTGCCCCCCCCAGCTGCGCTACGTGATGTACTTCCTGCTGGCCAAGCAGGGTGGGGGGACTAGGCACATCGGCCTCCTCACCGCGGCCGCGCGGCTGGTGGAGCGCGCGCATTCGCATTAGCTCCATGACTGGGAGCGGGAGATCCGACGAGACTACGACTTCGCGGCGCCAGGAGGGGACTCAGAGGAAGCGATTTGGCAGCAAATGTTGTTCGACGAAGGGGCCCAGCCTGGCGAGGTAACGGCTACGGCGGTCCTAGACCTAGAGAAGGCGTTCGAGCATGTCACAATGTACTTGCTTTGGGCCGAGACGCCCAAGCACCAGTTTCGGTTGCAGCTTTTGAAGCTTTGAATCTCGATATACACGGCCAGGCGCTTTGTTTCTTTCCGCGGCGTGGTGTCGGTGCATTCGGTCACCACATTCTCAGCTGTCATTGCGGGTAGCAGCGGGGGCACGAGATGCCTCAAGCTAGCCATCTTGTCAGTCGTAGACGGGCTGGCGCGGGAGCACCCTGCCATGCCGATGAAGCTTTTCGTCGATGATTTAAGCATGCAGGCCCGAGGTGCGGAGGCGGATGTCTCGGCCTCGATGCATGCGGCCACAACCCAGTATATAGAATAGATGGAGGCCCGTGGGATCCCAGTCTCCAGGGTCCGACCAGACAAGCCAACGGGCAAGGGGTTCATCCTGACAGCGCAGCGCTCCTTGAGAGCCCGCATCAAAGGTTGGGCCCGCAGCCTTGGACTGGAGGTCCGGGCCAGCAGCACGCAGCTCGGAGTCGACTCGGCGGGAGGAGGAGTTGTGTCGCTGCGCACCAGAGGCGATGCCAGGATGGGGAGCGCTAGGCGGCGTAGAAGTAAGTTATCAAGTCTCGGCAAGCAGGGCGCGCGCACCTTTCAAGTTGCGCGCGTGGGATTTCTCCCTTCTGTGCTGTATGGGGCGGTCTGCCTCGGAATGGACCCGACTCGGCTCACCCGAGCAAGGGCGCTCATGGCCTCGGCGCTGGGCGGGAACGCAATCGGTAAGGACCGACTGCTCCGCCTGTGGACGCTGCGCTGCGACCCCCTGGTCGATGCCTGCACGAAGCCACTGCTCAAATGGGCGGAGGCTATCTTTGCTGGCAGCCATGAGGAGATCATGGCTGCGGGGTGGCGCAGAGCTGTCGCGGCGGCCGCTGCCGCCAAGCCTGGGAGCAACCCCTGGAGGCAGATAAAAGGACCCGCTTCAGCCGTCTGGGCCACACTCAGACTCCTCTTGTGGA